GCAGGTGAGGAGGCCTGCTGCGACACAGACGAGAGGTTTCATTGAAGTCAGCCGGCGGTTGGACCTAACTCAGATTCTTTAATATGAATTAAGTCGTTCCCTGTGACACTCCCGGGTCCGTGACAGTTGGAGGGGAAACGTCTAACGGTTTGAATTCACCACCTGTCCGGCTGGCCTGTCCACTTTCATTTGCCGGTTAAATAAAGTTAAGAAAAGTCTGGAAGAAACCATCGTGAGCTCTGCTGTGCTTTGTGCTGCTACTGATCTCATACTTGACCCACCAGATGTGCTGGTGCTCACAGCACGGATAATGTGGTTCGAGTTAGCAGTGGATGTTAACAAAGAGCCAAAACCAAAGTTAAAGGAATGTGTTTAAATCCGAGTGCAGCATCGAGCCCGTTAAACTCCTGGGATATTGATCCGGTCAGTTAAGGAGCATGAGGTGATACCTGGACCTTCCAGAGTTTCCACAGGTAGTCCAACTCCTCCAGGGTGGCACATCGAGGTTTGCTGTGTCTCCCAGGACCGTCTCCAGAGCCTGGAGGAGACTCCAGGAGACGGCCAGTTACTGTAGGAGAGCTGAACAGGGCCCACCAAGAGGACCGGGATCTGCTCCTCTGTGCCGGAGCAGAGGAGGGATGGGCTCTTCTAATGCGTGCGAGCTGCAAACCTCCAGCAGGCCAGTGCAGAACGCTGAGATGTGGAACGCTGTACACGCTGTGGATAATATTACCATCACTGCAACTCGATGACTGTTTACCTGAATCTGGAGGCAGCCGTCAGACACTGACTCAGGCTAACAGGCTACAAACAGCTGTCAGCTTCCAGGATCCACTGACGTCTGTGCGCATTCAAGGATTTTCACACAGTGTAAAACCACACGTCTCATACAGCAGGGTCAAAGGGCATCTTGTGCATAAGGTTAGACACGAGCACTCTGGAGTGAGGCTCTCGCACAGCGGGGAAAGGGCTTTGACCGCATTCGCACACACTCAGTGCTGCAGGGGAGGCGGAGCTTATTTGTGCTATAAAAACTTCAGATTGTTTCCTGAGTCGCGACCAATCATCCCTCACCGTCGACCTGGTTTTGTCTCAGCCTCTGTTTCACGTTTGGAGACAGCTTCAAGGATAAATCTCGTCGTAGGTTTTATTAAAATTCTGGACCTGCAGACTCAGCGGCAGACGGGTGTTTTCTGTCCACCTGCTCCACTTTTACCTCAGTATTAACGACCTGTTTCCTGGAAGGACGTGTGAAGCTCTCAAACCCCACGAAAACTAGCTTCCTGTGTTTGGCGGCCACTTTGTCGACGTGGGTCGCCTCTTACATCAGCTTCCTTCCTCTTCGTTCTCGGAGCCGATCGATACGAGACGGATGAGAAAGTTTTGAGTTTTCGGGCGCTCTGTGTTAATTTCATGATGTAATAATGTGGAGATTTACTAAATGATCTACGAGGTGTTTAAACTCGCTCTGGGATCAATTTGCGTTTGGGGCTCTCAGCCTCGCTCGTTTCATCTGGAGGGAAGATTGAATTTCCTCAAAATTCGCAGCCCGTGTTGAGACATCTGCCTCGCAAAATCGAGTGAGTAATTAGCACGCGGCCTTCTGTTTACACATAATAATCCCATTTGCTTCACAACGCTGCCCTTAATACGGGCTCGTTTCATGTGAGCTTAATTGACTTTAGCGCCGAGCGCGGTTATTGATTTAATGGCGAGCAAAGTCTGCCTGCAGGAGGTGTTCCTCACCTCGCGCTGCAGCACTTCTCCAACTTTCAAACACCTGCACTCCTCCGTGAAGTTTCAGATTAGTCGGCGTGACACCGATTCATCCTCCAGTCAAAGTGTCGCCTCGTTAGCGTACGTTTAAAAGCAGCCTGCCGTAATTGGCTCAGACGGCGCCGCTGTGAGGACTCTTCACTCACATCGGAGGATTTACAGGAAGATAATGAAGCCTTAATGTCAGCAAAGGGGATCAAACTCCTGACAAAAGCGTCCAGCCTTCATCATTAACTCCTCCTCAGGCTCACATTCGCTGCACAAAACACAAGCTTTTATTCAAAGCGCTGCCGCGCAGTCGTGCCTCCGACTGTCGTTTAAGGCTCAAACTCAGAGCGACGCCATCGCGCCCCGGCGATCGTGTTTACAGCCTCCGTGGAAACAGAAACATCATCGGAAAGCGAGAGAGCCCGTGTTTTCAGCACGTACGCGTTATCTGCTTTATGAACCCATATCTATTTTAAATAAAGCTTCCTACACTGGCGGCGCTGAGCGTGGGCGCCGTGCACCTGGACCGATCAAACGTGGAGAAACTGCAGATGTAACATTTACATCACAGCAGCTCAGATCTGCACTTTTTTATTGAAACAAGCACAGAAAAATGTTTGAGCCTCCCGGGATGAGGTCGGATGGGTCAGACATCGGAGCGGGCGTTCACATTTCCACGTGATGCAGTGTGGACATCTGGACCAACGCCACGTGCTCTGCCCTCACGAACCTCTATTTGTGCACCTCTTGATTTCTGTAATCCAACACCAATGGGGTGAGCATAATGTTCCCTAAAGTCAGTACACAAAGAGTGGTGTGTAGTTGCACCAACAAACTGATGCATCCTCATAAACTTATAATTAATGTAATTAAACCTCCAGAGCAGGTTTGTTGTTTGTGGAAGCCGCCATGTTCCCCGCCATATTTGAATGCAGTGACTGGACTCCGCCTTCTGACTGATTGTGTGGCTGGAGACACACATGTGGAAGGAGAAGCTGGAGGCGTATCTAAACTCTGGTATTAAAGATATGAAGGAGACGCCACCGAGCATCCTCTTCCTCCTCATTTACTCCCGATATTCTCACATGTGACGCTCACATGTCACATGTCCGGACAGCTGGCAACAACAACAGCTGGTTATAGGCTAACATCAATCCAGCTGACGTTAGGCTCACGTTATCACAATGTCAGCAGACCCATCAGATCATTCGCTCCCACCTGAACACGGGGAACACATTACTGCAGGAATTAGACCGCTCCACATCACAATGAAACACGTTTCAGTCGCTGTACAGCTGGACTGCACTCTGCACCTCCGACAGTCATTCACTGCGGCTCGGCCTGCTCGGGCAGATATTAGCCTGAACATCTTCTGTGAGCTGTTTTAACCCTTTAAAGCCCACAGCAGAACCAAGTCTGCAGAGCTGATCTCTTTTACTTTTACCTGCTGTAGTGCCATCTTTGGGAGCATGTCAAGTTGTTATACGTCAATACAACAGCTATATCCCAAATTTTAATAACATGCATGCATTAAGTCCATAGTAATTACATAAATTGCACAAAAGTGCAATAAACTACAAAATACTTTTAGTTTTTTTTACTTGTGAAGTTTCAGATGTTGTCCCTCAAAACTGTAAAGGCAAAAAAGTTGCACAAAATAGTTTGCAAGCACAGGAAATTTACAGGAAAAACAAAATAAATATTATTGTGCACGATTTGCACAAAAAACAGCATCAAAATAAACGATTTCCAGCAGTGCAGTTTGAGTTCTGAGTCTCCCAGAAACTACAGAGAAAGGCACCAAGTCAGACACGACTCCAGTAAACAGCAGGAGACCTTTGAAAGGCCCTGTAGGGGAAAAACTACATGGAAAATGACATCACTTCCTGTCTTGGCAGGTAATAGCAGACATGTGATAGCTATGAACAGCTGATCGGATCTGCAACGCGTGTTTCTGGATTTAAATGTTTTTGTTGCTGCAGCGCTTTTTACACCATTAAAGGAACAAGCTGAGTGCACGTTCTGTAAGTCCAACTCCTCTGGTACGCACCTCCACCCGGACTCCACCCGGACTCCTGCCACCTCCACCCTGACTCCACCCTGACTCCTGCCACCTCCACTCTGACTCCACGTGACTCCTACTACCTCCACCCTGACTCCTACCACCTCCACCCTGACTCCACCCTAACTCCTGCCACCTCCACCCTGACTCCTGCCACCTCCACTCTGACTCCACGAGACTCCTACTACCTCCACCCTGACTCCACCCTGACTCCTGCCACCTCCACCCTGACTCCACCCTGACTCCACCCTGCCTCCTGCCACCTCCACCCTGCCTCCTGCCACCTCCACCCTGATTCCTGCCACCTCCACCCTGATTCCTACCACCTCCACCCTGACTCCACCCTGACCCCACCCTGCCTCCTGCCACCTCCACCCTGACTCCTGCCACCTCCCCCCTGACTCCACCCTGACTCCTGCCACCTCCACCCTGACTCCACCCTGACCCCACCCTGACTCCTGCCACCTCCACCCTGACTCCTGCCACCTCCACCCTGACTCCACCCTGACTCCTGCCACCTCCCCCCTGACTCCACCCTGACTCCTACCACCTCCACCCGGACTCCTGCCACCTCCACCCGGACTCCACCCTGACCCCACCCTGACTCCTGCCACCTCCACCCTGACTCCACCCTGCCTCCTGCCACCTCCACCCTGACTCCTACCACCTCCACCCTGATTCCTGCCACCTCCACCCTGACTCCTGCCACCTCCACCCTGACTCCACCCTGACTCCTACCACCTCCACCCGGACTCCTGCCACCTCCACCCGGACTCCACCCTGACCCCACCCTGACTCCTGCCACCTCCACCCTGACTCCTGCCACCTCCACCCTGACTCCACCCTGACTCCTGCCGACTCCACCCTGACTCCACCCTGACTCCTGCCACCTCCACCCTGACTCCACCCTGACTCCTACCACCTCCACCCTGACTCCTGCCACCTCCACCCTGACTCCACCCTGACTCCTACCACCTCCACCCGGACTCCTGCCACCTCCACCCTGACTCCACCCTGACTCCTGCCACCTCCACCCTGACTCCACCCTGACTCCTGCCGACTCCACCCTGACTCCTGCCACCTCCACCCTGACTCCTGCCAGGTAAAGTTCAGCTTCACAGGTGCAGTTTAGGAATAAGGAGGTTTCCCTCCTCCGCAACACGAGCTCACTTACTTCTGTGAGAAGAGGTCTCTGTAGGGGCTGCCGTGCTGCATGGCGATGCCGTAGCCTTTACTACTCATGCTGCTTCCCGACACGGTGACGGTGCAGTCGTCATCCGTCAGGGCCACGTACTCCAGCACCGCCATGTCCCAGAGGAAGGCGTAGGGACCCTTCTTTGCCTGCAGACACAGAGGGGGGGGGGACATGGTTATTTGATGGTTTCTTATTCGTCATCATCAGCGACTCTCAAATGCCTCCGCTGTTACTGGATTCAGACTTTTCTCCGGCGGCTTCATCCAGAGCAGAGCTAAACCTGAAGTCTGCAGCTGACCCGACACTGTGCACAAGAACACCGACCGTATTTACCCTCAGATCCTGATTCAGTTCCACAGTGACCGTGTCACGTGTGGAAATGCACGCGGCGCCATGGGTATTTATTAACGTCGCTGTCGGCTGGTGTCACGACTGCACAGTCATAAATATTTGATAGTGCCTCAGATATCCACGCTTACAGACTTTTTCTTGGATATATTCTGTCTTGAATACATTTTTTATGTTTGCATTTGTTTTCTTCACTTTGAAATGTTGACACCGAAACAAATTAGCTTATAAATCCTGCAGTGTGATTTCCTCCCCTGCATGCATACATCTCTATAAATAACCTCGTGCAGCTGCAGCTGTGCTCTGTAAATGTGTCTAAGTCTCTTTGTGATGCTAAATACCTGCAGGAGTGTTAGTCAGGCTGGTGTGCTCCTCCCGGCCGGGTGAGGAGATGACAGTAACACAGATACGGGAGCAGCAGCAGGTGGGGTGAAGTGGATGAGGTTGTCGGTGTTTTTTTCACTGTGTCAGCAGATCTGCTGCATCTGCCTCCTTCAACCTGTTCACTATAACTGAAAACTGTGCGCGCTCCTCTTTCTCAGATCCTCCCCGCTGTTACAAACTAATGACGACGTCACGTCTGTCTGATGATCTGCTGCGCGCAGGTGCTGCTGTTAGCTCCGTCCTCTTATTTAAAGAGAGCGGGGAGGGAGGGAGGGGCTTCTCTCTCTCTGAGGAGATGAGGATGTGCACCGTGCTACGCTAGGAGAGGACACAGGGACAGCAGAGGAGACATTCCTCTGAATCAAAGGAGGACGAATCAGGGCACCAAGCACAGACAGACCCCCGACCTGCTCTCACAACCCCGAGAAGAGCTCACAGCTCGTCTGCATTCAGCCAGCGGGACAGCGAATGCTGGGAAGTGACGTCAGGATTTATCTGAAGACTCTCATCCATCCATCAGTAACTTTTACAGGAAGGTTCAGTCTCCAGGCTGACTTACAGGAATCACGCTGCACAATGCATACAAAATATTCCAGGGTTTATTTTTCCAGCCTGATAATCCTGCAGAGGCCAGAAACTTACAAAGCTTACTGCTTTGTCTTAGCCAATCCCTGCACGCCCTCCCGACCCCGCCCTCTCACCGAGCTGTGGTGAAAGCAGGGCTGAGATTGGCCAGAAATAACACGATGTCACTGAGATCTGATGCATTTAAATGCAAATGAGAATTTCAAACTTGTGCCAAAAAGTCGACTTCCTCCTCGATCGCTCTCGTAGTTTAAACATCAGAGCCTAGAGCTGTTTCTTCAGTTAGGCTGAGGCGCTCATGACATGTTCGTCCCCAACGTCCCAAAATATACACGAGTTTCTGAAAACATGTATTTAAACATAATATTTCAGATTAATCAGTCTTTTACTATTCTCGGTTTTAGTCAGAGTTCGTCCCCTCGACACTCCAGGTGTTTCTAGTTGTTATTCGGAGCCCGACTCATCGAACGATTCTTCCTCGTCAGACACGGTTTTCTGATTTGTACAAAGATACCTGCAGTACAAAGCTTTCGCTCTACGGTGTGAACAACATGAAGAATTTGAACGTGGAAATTCATTCACGTCACAGTTACTGTAGTTTTATATCTGTCATCAGTTTTTATTCATGAGAAATGTTTGAGTTTCATTCAATCTAAGATTTAAGATGATTAGAGTTCATATTGCAGCACAAACACTCGGCTCACGCTGGTGCAGACATCCCAGCAAAGCGAGCGCTGTGTCTGCACATAACACAGTTTGGCAAAGAACCAGCTTTATATGTCTTTAGGCTCTTAGCTGCTTATTTACAAACCACATCATTTGTTCCCATTTCTGTAGTTTATCTATGAGAAATGTCAAAGACAACTCAGTTTGACAGGAAAAACGTTCGTTTGTTTTTCCAGCTCAGATCCAGGATTTGACAAACGGGGACCGGATGGGAGCCAAAAGCGCTCCAGATCATTCAGTCCCTGCGGTCACCTCAGTTCATGGAAAGCTTCGGAGTCGACACTGATCAAAGCTGAGGACGTCCTGGTTATGAAGAGTCATGTATGAGGTCGTCTTACAGTTTGCACTGGTGCCTAAAAGTCCTGTGACTGCAGCTTCTGGATGTGAGTCTCAAGCAGCGTGTGGGAGGAAGCAGTCGACAATAGCAATAAAACTGATTAGAGAGTGTGTGTGTGTGTGTGTTAGTGTTAGTGTGTGTGTGACTGTGGGGAGAAACCGTCAAAGAATCTGTGGGGATGTTTATCATGCAAATGGCTGAATAATGGATGCGCTCGGAGACGATTTGTCTTTGACGCTAATTTGTCATCGGCTTTTTGGGAGATCTATGAGCACAACAGTGTAGAGCAGAGAAACACCACCTCTCTCTCACACACACACACACACACACACACACACACACACACACACACACTAATTGGGATATTGTGAAACTGCTGTTGAAATTAAGTAATGGGTAAACAGAGGAGTGTCTTTGCATGCGGCCTGCTGGGAATAACGCAGGAGGAGCGTGTGCTTCTGTTTTCACCATTATTGATATGCGTGCATCAATATAACACACAAATGGTGTTCTTGGAGGAACGAGTGCTGCAGGGTTTACTGCAAAAAAGGGGAAATAGCATGAAAGAGTTCAGCTGCTCAGCCCTTCATTAGAAAGGGGGAAACTTTGAGCACGACTTCCTGTTACTTTTACCTGGAGGTTGGGACTGCGCTCTGGAGAGGACACGGACCCCTCCAATCTGAAGTTGCCCCTGATGAGAAGGGCAGATGTGAGTATACGTGTATCACCTCTGCTCGAGGGACGGACCCCGACTGCCATTTGTGCTTCTACCAAACAACAGGTCGGAGCACTCGGCCTTCCTCGGGCCCCTGAGGGGAGAGTGTCCTATTAAGAGACTCCACTGTTCCTCCCAGTCTCTCCTGTGACTGGGAGGAACAGCCTGTCAGATCTGAAGCTGAGTGTTGGTCTGTTATTTGTCCATAACAAGCATCACACCAAGCACATGTGACACGAGCACAGCCCACTTTGTAATCCCTTCATCCGATCTGTGGCCTCTTTGGACACTCAGCAAAGAGAGGCGCTTTCAGCTTGAGTTAAAACAGGTGGGGTAGGATGCTGGGACCATCTGGATCTGGTCTCCCAGAGAAACCGGGGACATTTGGTCCAGTTAGCAGCTACAGCTGCCCGTGGCACTATGGACCTGTCCATCAAAGAGGCAAACGTAACAGGAACGCCCCCTTATTTCCCACAGACCCACCTGTCTGGCTGGATAAGGATTTTTACAGGATACACTTCAGGTTATCCAGGTTTGTGTTTCCTCCCAGGCTCAAGATTTCACATGTCAGGTGAATATTGTAACTACTACAGCAAGCCAGTGTTGAACACAGCTGTTCTCAGCTGACTCGGACATTTGATCTGGGTTTTCATTGGAGGCCGCTGGTGTTTGACCCCTGCTCTCCCACTAACTCTGCATGCTTCCACTGCACGTCAGTGATTTATGAGATATTTATTTTTGCTGCATCTGCAGGCCAAACCATGGATGTTAGAACCAAAGCTGATGATTTTACTCTATTACAATCACACACCAGCACCTCTGCGGTACCTTGCGTATTCCCTCTGACGGGCTGGACACGGAGTAATCCATGCCGTTGTTCTTGCTGATGGTCCTCCACAGCTCTGAGTAGGTGCTGTCCTGCTCCAGAGGGTTGGTGCCTTTGTTCCTGAAGTAGTCGTAGACCGCCGAGTCCCTCACAGTGCCGTAGTCCACGTCGATCTGCCTCGCCAGGTCCTGGAAAGACCTGGAGGACAGAAATGGAAGGGTTGTTAAAAACAAACTAGGTGAAGGTAAGAGGTGAAGCACAGGTGAAGGACATTAGACTGGAGGAGGCTCGTGTAGGGCCATCTGAGGCTCAGTGCACACGTCCAGTTTGCAGCCGTGACCTCAGTCATACAGCAGTCGGAGAGTCCAAAGTAATTACCGATCATAATCATTCACATGTTGTCATGTCATTATATTGTTTGCTTATGCTCATCTCTTCATACCTTTCTAAAGTCTGTCTCTGTGTTTTCTTTCTACAGTGTGACAAATTAACTGGAAGTGTATGGATGTCTCCAGACGCCTGGTGTGACGGTGAACTGATTTCAGTGTTTTACAGGTTTGTGGAGACGTGGAGCCTGTGGACACTGAAGAGGTGGGAGACTGGTTGTAATCAAGGACACCGCGAGAAGAGCTGATTCGTTCTTCCATCGCCTTCAGGTGTTTGAGCGGCTCGCAGTTTCTGTCATTTTAATAAGTACAAACAGAGCTCCACATAGTTCAACGGGAACACAAAGACAATTTTAAATCTGCATCAGCAAACCTATGACAAAGAATTCAAATGGAACGCTAAACTTCAGGATGAGGTCCAAAGAGATGTTGTTGCAAGTGAAGGAGGCCTAAAGACCTAAAAGAAAGACCTAAAAGACCACAGGATCCTCTGAACTAAACCTTCACCAAGTCAAACACACTCTCAAAGAGTTCAGAGTCCTTACAAATGGAAATACAGAGTTTACAATGAGGAACACGAAGACATCTGAGAGAAGCAGCCCAGGTCCAGACAGGTGGAACCAAGATCACCAGAATGATGGGACGAGAAAGGCACAGAGAAAGACAGAAAATCTCAGGATCTGAAGTTTACCACATCATCTACCAAACATGGAGGAGGTAGTATGACAGTATGGAGCCCAAACATGTCCCTGATGTCATATCACTGGTTTGCATCAGGTTGGGACCTTTGTAGTTTCTGCTTCACTTGGTAATTTCTTTATGTTTGTATTTATTTTTTCTGTCGAAATATTGTGAAACATGAAAACGTTTTCCAGAGCCACCCAGTGGGCCAAACTGGAGTCTTTGCACGGCTGATTCCAGCCCCTGGGCCTTATGTTTGACATACCTGCTGTAAGCCAGTCGGTTTACTAATGTTTCCATCATAAGACTTCAAAGGGAGGCTCGGTCTGAAGGTGCTGCAGCTAACCTAATGTGGTCCAAACTGAAACAGCTCGATGGCAGACGAGTGTTCGGAGGTTCCCCGCCAGGCTAAAAATACTTTAAACACACTTTCTGCTCAGATGCAGTCACACACTAATTTGTCTGTTTTTGCTTTGTTAAAGTCTGTGAATCGATGTGTTTTGTTCTCTGGAGGAGTCGTCTCGCGCCAACAAGGCCTCGCGCTTCTTTGTTCCTGCTGCGATTGATTCCATCGTGTTGGTTCTGTAATTATGTTTAAACAGTAATGTGTGGAATAAACAGAGGTCAGTGTGGGTCATTGCTGGGACCCCCGCTCCTCCCTGCAGGCTGGGATCTGAGACCACTTCAGACCAAAGAGCGTTGTTTTAAACGAACCGACAGGAAACCGCAGTCTGACGAGTGCGCTCGGTTAAAGTGCCGGCCTCTTCAGCGAGGGGTCAGTGTGTCACCCAGCCGGTGTAAAAGGTGATTTCTGACCTGTGGAGCTGAAGTTATGTCCTGTATTTACACCTTCTTATTTTATGTACAAGTGGGCGGGAGTTTCACTTCCACTTGAAATCTGAGAAACATCCTTCCCTCGTCTGCAGCTTTGGTCCGGACGCCCAAAATGTTACTGTAAATCTGACATTTGTCACTTTCTGCTTGAATGTGTCATGTTCGTTCATATTCTTTAAATGTAACCTCATGCTGGCTCCTCCGTGGCTGATTTAATACGTTTTGGTTTTTAACATACAATCTGACTTAAATGAAATGCTCTTATTGTGAGCAATTTAAAGTAGATTGTTGAGCTCAACACAAAAATTTGCTTCAATTTTATTTATGCAGCACCAAATCACAACAACAGTCACCTCACAGTGCTCTCTATTGTAAGTTAGAGATCGTAACACAGAGAAAACCTCAACGATCAGACGGCCACCTGTGAACAAGCACTTTGGCGACAGTGGGAAGGAAAAACTCCGTTTTCACAGGAAGAAGATCGGGCAGAACCAGGCTCAGGGAGGGAGATGGGACAAAGCCAGCCAACTCATAAGGACTCAGGACAAACAACCAATCAGACGGCAGTGACACTAAACTAATCTGAATAAAGAAGTTTTATTTCAGCTTTGAGGCATTTTCTGCACCGGCTTCATCTCCGAGGCCTCAGTATTGATGACAAAGTTGGAGATGAATCGACGGTTTTAAAATGAAAAGTCTTCTTTATGTTGTGAGTGTGTACTGACCGTTTGGCTTCAGCTTCACACAGCCTGTGGAAATGAAAGTAAATAAAGTCCTGCTGCACATATCAATAATAAATACTCGGATATGACCGGCGGGCGTGAGCATTCACTGTTGTTGTTTGGACCGAAGCAGACGCCGTCTGAGTGAAGGTGAAGTAAACGTTTCCTGAAAGGCAGCGTTTATGATTCGCTGTGCGGTTCGAGGCGTCAACGAGCTAAAAGGGAAACCTGACTTTGTTAAACGATATTTATCATTATTATATTTTACTTTCTGTTCCTCATAACTGTTAATGTCCTGATCTATATTTATAAACAGAGCCTGCTGAGCCTTTGAAATAATAAATCCTTCACAGACACGCGTCGTAAATCTGAGCGAGGACGCGCGTTCACGCGTCGCTGCGTCCACACGCGCAGCTGCGGGCTTGATGTTTGTCGCTCTGAGAGGAGACCGCTCTGTTGTCTGAGGAGATTTTAAAGGAAGTCTGCATCACGTGCAAATCTGCGAGTGTCAGTAAAAGCAACATTTCAGCATTTAGGCGTCACGCTGTTCAATGAGCCGCCTGTCACGGAGTGACGCCGCCGGCCTGCTGATGGAAATGTCAGCGGGGATTTGATTCCCGGATGATTAAAGACAGAAGAGGGCGGAGCTGAGCTGATATTAATGGCTGTTTTGAACCTTCAGACAGGAAGTGAGAGATAACGCTCCGCACGCACCGCCCAGATAAACGGCGACGTACCTGAGCTGTGCATTTGTGCCGAGCGTGTGTGTGTGTGTGTGTGTGTGTGTGTGTGCAGTGAAGACAAGCTAAACTCCTAAACAGAGTGAGGAGCTGCAGGACTGCTCTTGAACTTCTGGAGTAGCTTTCAACTACTCGCAGTGCAGAAGAATCCAGATTCACTTTTTCTCTGACTGAAGTGAGCCGTTTTACTTCCTGTCTCTTTAAGGACCCCGCCCCTTCCTAAAAGCCCACTTTCTCTTGATTGGCCAGTTTGCTGTGGCCTGCTGAGGGGCCGTCTTCGGTGTTGATGAGCTGCTCGTTTTGTACTGGAAGCCAGATGTGTTGTACGTGTGATGAAGTGCACACACTTCCTGTCAGCACGATGGTTTAACTGGGAACTTTTTCCTGACGTTGTATCAAAATCCTTTGAAATAAAAACTGATTTGAATAAAAATCTGCTTCACTTCAAATGAGTAACGAGAGATTTCAAAGCAGTGATTTCTCCAGTTGTCTAACAGCATTGTGCCACATTAAAGATGACTACAGCTCTCTAAACAATGATTTCAGGCAGGACTGGCTGTGAGTTAAACCTGAATTTTGGACTTTCAGGATTGATCTCCGGATGCAAAGTGAAGGTCGGCCACTGTGAACACCCCGCAGTCCTCCTGCAAAGCCTTCAGACGTCCTGATTAGTGTTTCATCTTCAGTAGCCGTGGCAGCACGGACCCCCGTGTGATCGCCGCCTCGCTCCAGCAGCTAATCGCTGTTCTGATCTGATTGGCTCCGATCGAGCTCGTCCACCTCTGATTGTGTTGTTCGGCCGTGAATGCAGAGCAGCATTAATGGCCACTCCGGATGCCGAACACTCTAAAGGGAAACGGAGCTGCTGAACAACAAGGGCTCGGAGCAGTTGGGTCTTTGAACCTGAAACCTGGGCAGAGCCGCACACAGAGGCGCGATGATGGCCGGTGACGATATAAAAAGAGGCTCCGGACTTTGATGTCGGACCACTCGGGTTTTATCGAGGTGAAGACGACAACAAAAAAAGAGAGAAAAATGAAATATTGCTTTTGATCTGATGCCTGCGGCGCTGGGTGGGAGGCAAACACTCGCCAACGCCGTTGACACCGCTCACGCTTCAGCACTCGAGTGTTTTTGGGTTTCAGTGAGAAAAAAAACACATTATCACTGCGGTACAAAGAGCCCGAGTGGAGGCCTCATACCTGACTCCAGTCAGAGAAAAAGGTCGTGATTCTCAGCCTGAGCCCTCCGGGTCGGGGTGCTGATCCAGGGAGCTGAACGAGCTGGGCGGTGAAGTCGTTGACTTAGTGGCCGGTCTGCGAGTTGGGGTTCATCACACTCTGACACACCCTGATACTAAAAAGTATTTACAACATGAGGAAAGTTGTACTTTTGAATATGAAGAGCTGCTCCAGGCTTCTCTTTATGAACTCCAATTTTATTTAAATTTAAATCTGAATTGTGAAGCGAACGAGGTGAAATATCCTGGAGGATCAAACTCAGGCGCAGACTGTTCAACACGCCGTGTCTGCTCAGGCGGGCGGATTTCTTCTGAGTGTGCGGCTCCTGTAAGCGGACACACTCCTGATCTATAAGCCGTCGCTGACCGATCCCATCTCTGCACATTTGCAGAAAAACGTCTGAATCAAAGTCAAATATTTCCCACTTTTGCGACTCTTCTTGTTTTTCCAGGTTGTTTCTGGAAACGAGAGTTTCTGACCCTGTGACGGGTTCGTGTTTGCCTGTTTGTTCAAACAACATGAGTCACGGTGAGCCCTGCTCGCCTGGAACATTAAATTACCGTCAGTCGGTTCGCTGCAATGAAGGGGGTCAGCTTTATCTGTCCAGCTTAAAAGCTGCTCATTAGATGTCTGCAGGAAATTTATTGAGCTGTGCAAAAGTTCTCAGAAAGGTTAAAGAGGCCGAGCAGAAGTTTGAGGAGGTGGAAATCGTTGTTATCACTCAGAGCAGCTTGGTTCCTTTTGGTCATGAAACAAAGACTTCAGTGAATTTTGGTGATGCTCTGTGAACTCAGGACAGTTTATTTCTGTATTTTTGATGTTTGTTTTCTTCACAGATCACAAGCAGTGTGTGCTGAACTCTGCAGCGGAGAAAGTGCCAGAGATGCCACAAACTGCAGTTCCTCGAATGTCCACTGGAGGCTCACTCCAGCCCTGAGTCTGTTTTGTTCTCTGTGGTTAATTTTTTCCATGACTCACCTGTTTAAACTGTATTAAAGCCTAAAGTTGGCATCATTAGGGGCGTGGCCTCAGAGCAGACCAAGGACACGCTGGAGGAGGCGGCTCAGGACCAAGACCTGGTCCCGGATGAGCTGAAGACAATGCTCAGACTCCAGTGGGTTTCCAAACTGACCCGTGTGAGTCAGTGGTCTCCTTCATGCTTTAAACCTTTTACTGCGGTTTCCTGTTGAGGTTTCTTCTAAACAGCCTTTTTTTAATTTCCTGCCTCATATTTGGTGAACGTGACGGACGAGTTACTGGATCAGCTCGAGCTCCCGTGTTCGCCCAGAGGAGTCCGCAGCTATCGTTGCATTTCTTGCGTAACACACTTCACAAACCAAACTGAGTATTTTTTTTAGTGCTGAGGATTTAAGTATTTATGCAAATCACACGTGAACTTTCAACATCTCCAAACTTTCCCTCTCCTCGGCTTTTGGACGAGTTGCAAGATCCGCCAGCGCTCCTCGCCACGAGGTCAGCGCGTTCTTCGTCAACAGCGAGAGTGTTAAATGTGAAAAAGACTGAAGCGGCGAGGCAGCCGGCGCTGGTTAGACGGGCTTTTTTTTGCAGTGCATTAAATACTTGAACTCAGCCGCTGCAGCGTGGCTCCTTCATGAAGAAATATTCAAGCCGAGAGCCGTTTCAGCAGCGCAGGCGAGCCTCTCAATCCATCTGCAGATCAGCTGCACCTTCACACCCTCCTCTCTCGGGGTTTGTTAAATCAGAGAGGATGAGCAGCCCGTCTCCAGCCTCCCACAGCACTGATGTAAATCAGTTTCTTTAGTTCCCTCCTTAAGGTTAAGAATCGGCGGGAGAAGCTCCCGAGGTCGGCCGAGCAATTAACACGGTGCTGCAGAGGAGCGGCGGCCACGTTCAGCCGAGTCAGGCGTCTCTTTAAGAGCCGAGCTTCCCGTGGACGGAAAACGCTGTGCTCGCTGCTAATTAGCCGCCGCAGAGCCGACGAGGTCACTCAGTTACAGTTTTACAGAACTGGTCTTTAGATGTTATAATTTATTCAGCAGAAACTCCAACGTGTTTATCGGCGTAATGAGGAAACAGCTTTAATTAAGTATCCACAAATTTGCTTAATGTCTGGTCTCTGTTTTTCAAACCGTTGCAGTGACGGCTCCACGCCACATCAGCTCACAGAGACTGTATTTAAAAGATGGACAGAGCCATGTGACGTCACTCCTATTAGCAGTTTGCCCTCCACTGTGTGTCGTCCACAGTTGGTTTCGTTGTACATGTTCAGTACAATAAAAGGCTACTCTATTCTACTCTATTCTACTCTATTTGAAACTGTATGTCACAAATGAGGAGCAGATGAAGAAAGTGAAGAAGCAGCCTGTGTTCGAGCCAAGTCTCTGTGTGCACGTGGTCTTATAGTGGTAAATGGTTAACAGGCTGCTAGTTACAGCTTTTCTCTCTAAGTGTGCTTTTTGTTATTTGTGTGCCTTCTTCAACCAATCACGCACGAGCCCATAACGGCCTCGTCTAACATCGTGCATGCACTCACGCTCCGATGGACGCACCATGCAGACTGCAGTAGATGGGCATTGAACCACCGACCTTCTGACTGCTGTAGCTCAAGAACCACAGTTGCTCAGTAATTTTCAAAAGATTGCAGCAATTAGTTGTTCTGCAACGCACGAATCCCCGACCCAGCAATCAATCAATACGAGCAGATCCACAGCGCTACGATGTCCCTGCGTCGAGGCAGGATTCTGATTTAGAGGCGTTCAGTCATAATCCCGCAGATGTTAGCTTTGGATGGGAGGCTTCTGTCCTGTGCAGTAAAGCAGTGGTGTGGACAGTGTCTGATACTCTGAATCAGGACGTACCGTTGCAGGAACAGCTGCAGCTGCAAGTCTCTAAAACCCTGAACCCTATAAATGTACTCTTACTGGACAGAGCTCAGCCTGACCTCTGAGATCATAAAGACTGAGTGAACTTCCTCCAGCTGCAGAGTCCTTGCTCCCTATTTATCGTCTGAGCACTGATCCCGACAAAGTGCTGCTGTGTGTCGGAGAACCGGACACACAGAACTTTCTGCTCTCATGTGTCGCTTTCTACAGTTTGGGTTTTAGTTATAGTTTCATTTTTGCGTGAGACCCAGAAACTTGTGTTTGAGTTGGAGTTTCTTTCCTGGATCTGGATTGGCTCCACCTCTGCTAACATCTGGCTGTAATCTGCTCAGAACGCTTGGAACAATCCTGCTAACAACCAGACAACGAAAAAATTCACATAACGTCACTGGTGGAGATGAAAAACATCAAGATCCAAAGTGTTGATGAAAATCTTTTGTACAGTCATGTTTCGGGAAGGGAAACTCTTGATTGCGTGTGTCGGGCATTAGCATGTTTCTCCGAGGAAGAGCTCGAACCTCTGAGCCAGCGTGCCGTCCACCAGGATTGTTTCATTGTTTACAATATTAGCTCAGTAGGGGTGCAACGATACACAATATTCACGGTTCGGTTCGGTTCGATACTTTGGTGTCATGGTTCAATATTTTTTCGATACAAAAATATTTCATGCCTTTTTAATTTGTCATTTATTAAAATTATAAATATATATTTTAACTCAAAAGTACAGTTTTTAAATTTAACCCTAACCCTTGTGCGTGTTTTTTATTTTGACAGCGAATGCGCACCTGCGGACCACTTATGTGCAGCCCTGGTTATTTAGCTCGTCATATTGCAGCCACAGAAATTCTTTTGTCCATGAAACCATAAAGCTGCACTTTCTTTTTGCCTTATAGTCTGATTTGTCATAACTTCTCAGTTTTGTGGTAAGCTTTTCTTTGGCTGTCACTTCTTCACCCTGACCTGTCTTATTTGGCTCAGCAGAACTAAAATATAAATCCTGCTGCTTTTACACACTCACTCACATAAGCTCAGCGATTCTCTGCGCGATCAACCTCTCACATGTTTAAGCTGCGGGAGATTTCACTTGTGATGTTTGCATAGTAAGCTAACGATTAATAAGACGATGTCAGAGGAATTGGTGCACAAATTATCATCACTCACAGATCAGTGCTGTCGCTCTCTATACACAGTTCGCACGATTGCAAAGTGAAAGCAAAAAACAAGCGCAAATTCAAACGCGATTTCAATATGTCACATATTGACAGTGGCTCACCGATGCCAATGACATAATTACCCAGCTACATTTCCGAAAGAATGCAAAAGAATTGACATATATTTTTCCTACAATAGCCCGACGGGCAGGGAAGAGATAGATTTTGGTAGCCCGACTGAAAAAATCGCTAGCTCCGGGATGTCGGGCTAGCGATATTGCGAGCCCTGTATCTGATTGAGGAATCACTCATCTTTGGAAAAGAGAGTTTATTACAGAGAAATGTCTCTTTCCAAAATAAAAGCTATACTATCCGCTTCTTCTGGGCTATATTCTCAGCAGCATAAGGAGAATCATGTGCTAACAGCTGTCTAAATGACTCGGCTAAAGTTAGTAGCATGCTTGTTGTTTTTGTCTTTGCACTAGGATGATGTAAATGTGCAGTCATATTCGTTGTGTTCCCACTAGTGCTTTCAGGTTAATCTCGTTGAAATGACCTTAACGCCACAACACGGCAAATCTCCGTTAACGAGCTACCGCTGATCGCCCCGTGCATGGGGCTAGACGGCCAACACGTTAACGAGCTAACTGCGCTAACACACTAGCTCCCACCCATGTAATTGAGCATTGCATGGCACATCCAACATACTGTTTTACTTTAGTCCATGACTCGCTTACCTTCAGGGTCATACGTCACATGAAAACCAAAATAATTCCAAACGCCAGATCTGAATGAGGGTGGGGGAGGTCCATGTTAAAAGGAGAGCTTAACTTCTGTCTCGCTAGCTTGCCCTGCGCTCTTCCTTCTGACGATGCTGTCTGTGTTGAGCGCTCAGTGGATCTGCGCTCGACAGTGCAGCCTAGGCGGAGTAGTCGAACGCAGATTCACTGAGCGCTCAACACAGACAGCATCGTCAGAAGGAAAATTGATAAAATAAATTACAAATGTTGTATTGTTCGATACATATGCGTACCGAACCGAAAGCAGTGTATCGAACGGTTCAATATCGATACGAATATCGTTGCACCCGTATAGCTCAAGTCAGTTCTTCCGTCCCTGATGTCTGAGCTCGCGGAGCTTTAGAAGCAGGTCAGCGTCACCGACCCCGACAGGAAGTGCAGATTGTGGCAGAGCGTGTGATTGGCTGATGGAAGAAACCCATCGCTGTGGCAGGATGCTGTGTGTGTCTGCTCGGAGCGTGCGAATGAAAGATGTATGTTTACAAAGTCCGGAGCTGCAGACAAACACGCACAGCAAGCTGTTCATGTCAGGGCGAGTGTGTGTGTGTGTGTGTGAACCTCACCGTATAGCGTGATCCATGCGTGACACGGTGAGGTACGCCGCCAGGTTGGCGGTGTACGATGAACAAACTATGAGCGTGAAGAGCCACCAGCTGCCCATGACGATCCTCAGAGCGACCGATCCCACCACACCGTCCCCACCTGCGCACACACACACACACACACACACACACACACACACACACACACACACACACACACACACGTCGTTATTCAGACGTCGGGATTTTCGAGTGTCGAGTGCCCATTTTTAAATCATGCAAGTGTTTGTGCTCACGAGCTGGAGTGGGCGTCAGACCTGCGACCTCTCAGTTGCTCTCGGCAACCAGGAGCCCGCCTGCCACCTGATCCAACCGGCAGGTGAGAGCGGTGCTTCATCACAGCGAGCCGAGAGGCTGCGTCTAATCACACACTGTTAGGCCTAAAAGGTTTCCCAGGCAACCTGCCAGCCCATAATAGATGCAGCTGGATGCATCTGCAGGGAAAGCGTGTGTGTGTGTGTGTGTGTGTGTGTGTGTGTGCACTGTTTTACGTCCACACTGAGGACATTTCAGGGGCAGAGGTGACGCTCAGAAACAACAGATTTTGGAGCGAGAGGAAGTTTTTTCTGTTACAGAATTCTTGGAAAGTGTTCACAGAGAACTTTTTGGAAAGTCATGACATTTAAAACACTGAGGACAAAGTCACAGTCAAGCATGATGACTGCTCAAATTCCTGAAAGAGGAAAATTGGAACACGGGAACGCCTGCCTGCTCCGAATCGTCCCTAACAGCGTTCCTCTCGATGTCACCTTTCGCTCACCTTGCTGCACGAACGCTCCGTAAACGATCCAGATGGCGCTGTGCAGGGTGCCCGACCCCGCTCCGTTAGCCGGCTGACCGGGAGGTGCATTCTGGGACGAGGAGCGCAGCGCCTGCAGTCTGTTGAGGAGGAATATGAGCACTCCCACCACGGGGATTGCGGCGGCGATGCAGGCCCAGACGGCGAGGTCGAAGGGCGCGAACAGAGAGAAGATGTTGATCTTCTCTTCGGGCTTTCGGAGCAGGATGCCGACGCTGTAGTCCAGGTAGCGCTTGCTGAAATCGACCACGTTCTCCCGTTCTGGCGTGATGGTGATGGCGGACACCGCCAGGTCCGCTCTCTGCAGGGCGAGGGAGAGGAAGGGTTTTCGTTCACGCTCCAAAGTGACCGAGTGTAAGAGAACAGAAAGGTGGTGCAGGCCCTACCTTGTTGATTAGATCGCCAATCATGCCGTTCCATGAGCCGTTGGGAAGCCGACTTCCATATTTACTGTCCGCTACCTGAGAGGAAGGAGAAGAAGAAAATCAGCGAGTTTATTCCAACGTCTCAGAAGCTCGTTTATATCGGCCCGAAAACAAAAGCCTCTCCTCTGCAGATGATCTGCCAGCTGTTTGACAGCTGCTCTGTCAAGAATCTTTGAGATAACAGGAAAGTTGGAGATTATAATCAGTGAAGCTCCTTGAGGCGACTGTTGTTGTGATTTGGTGCTGAATAAATGAAATTAAACGGTATTTTAAATGGTGAGTTTGGAGCTGAGGTGAAGCTGAGTTAGTGCTCAAACCAAATGACAGACTGCTGGTCAGCCCCACCTGGTAGATCTCGTATTTGAAGCCCAGGATCTTGGCGAGGGCGTCCAGGACGTCGATGGAGAAGCCTTTATATCTCTTCGGCTGCCCGAGGATGTTCTCCGCCACCATGACAAAAGGATCCTCCTGCAGTGAGAAAGAGCAGTGAAGAAAAGGGCCGAGCGATGCTGCGCGTTCAACAAACTGCAGCTCCGAGCAAAAACACAGAGAAACAAAGAGCGAGATCAACTTTTGTCAGCCTTTAGGAGGAGAGCGCACAAACGGTGAAAACTCTCCAGCTGAGTTTGACTAGCTGAAAGTTTCATTTCATGCATCTTAGAAATGGACCTAAAAAATGCAAAAATACCCCAAAGCTGAACTTTACTCGGCTCCAGCTGCACTAAAGAGAAAATCTGCTTTGCAAGCCCAGACTGAATATCCACAACAGGGCGATGTGACGCTGCCTTTAATGTGCTGCAACAAGACAACGTTTGTCTTTCTGTTCAAAGCTTTTCAGCCGTTCGATCTCAGATATTAAACAGAATCATCTGGATTCACTTGGTTGTTTTTTAGGCTGCACCAGGTGTCTGCAGGAGAGGACGTGTTCACAGGTAGTATAACTGCACGTTTAGCTATGATGCTAATACAGGGCAGGTCACAATCTACAGTTATTCCCAGAAAGGCGTCGTCTCCTCATCTTCTGAATGACACGAACCTCCATGTTTAATAATCAGGGACTGCGGGGGCTGTTCCCACAGGCCACGCTGAGAGGCTCGCTTTGACTCTGAGCAGAGCCTAAAACAACAGCGTGCTCGGGATAAAGAAGGTTCACAGAGGCACATGCTGTGTTTCTCCGTAGAGAAGCACGGGTGCCGAGTTTGGTGGTTAAAGTGTTGAGGGCAGGTTTCTGGCAGCGTGAGACCTGAAGTGTTGCAGCTGCAGTGGATGAATGGCAGGGTAAAGGTATTAGTCTCGCTCGGTTACACCTGCGTCTCCACGCCGCTGTGCCGGCACGAGAGGAAGTGCTGGAGGAAGCTGCTGCTGGTGTTTCTAATCACAGCGACCTGAGGAGCTGCTTAGACCGAGAAACACGAGCGAGCGCGGAGACTCGAAGCTGATCAAACACCAAACCTAAAAACGTACAAAGCAGTTCTTCTATTGGCTGAGAGCTTTCTGTGGATTCTCTGGGGTTTATTTTGTGCTGATATTTTTGAGACGCAGTTGAACCGACGCTTAAAGGACTGAACTGAAAATGCTGTAATAATAACAACAAGTACAACAACCCTGGAGTGGATCTATCCATCGTAACGCAAGCAGCACGGATGTAAACACGGCGCTGCGATGCTTCACTGTTTATGCTGTTGATTTACTCGCCATGCAGCGCCCGCCCTCCTCTGGATCGCACGCTCTTGGAGCTGCAGGGAGCATCAGTGAATGCTAACAAGAGATATTCAGCTACTGCAGATCTTTATCATGCACAAGGCATCCGAGCACCAAACCTCGGATTCCAACAAATCTCATCTGACCGAGGACACCAAACACTGCTGAAGGAAGGGACGTCTGAAATACCCGATTACTCTGATTACCCTGATTACCCCGATTACCCTGATTACCCCGATTACTCTGATTACCCCGATTACTCTGATTACTCTGATTACCCCGATTACTCTGATTACCCCGATTACTCTGCTGTCACCGGGACCCTTAAACCTACTTCTTTCTAATGATCACAAAGGACCACCCCTCTGCTTACAATAAGAAGACTATGAGGAAATGAAAAGTCTTGACCTTTGACCTCGTGTTTTCTGGTCAGCTTGTGCTCTCCTTTCTTACAGGAAGATGGATCGACTGATTGTGTCCACGATAGCGTCCACTTACCAGCAACGTGACCACTTTGACCGTGACTCCCTGCATGCCGTTCTCTATCCGGCTCTCCTTCAGGCTGCCGTTCAGGCCGTGAACCGAGTCCCACGTGGCGAGCTGCGGGGCAACAGGAGACAGACTGTAAACAAACAATGTACAGTGGAGACATCAGCCGCAGCACACTGAGATGCGATCGGTTCGTGTGTCCGCGTGCGAGCAGCCCTCCCGGGGAACAAAGCGCGGTGGAATCATGCTGCCCGGCTCACAGGCTGCAATTTTACCATTTACTCCTCGGCCTCATCAGGTTTCAGAGCGCGCCGCTGCGAATCAGACGGAGACAATGAGGCCAAAAAATGTATTAAATGAATCAAAATAAGAGCCTGCCAGAAAACCACTCCGGTGTGGCTTCATTGTGCACATTTCCAGCCACACACAAAACCAACCTGACCTAATTAAGTCCACAGCCCTCCTAAAAACCTCCCGCCAGCTCCAGCAGCGCTCTCAGAGGCCCAAACAGCCTCTCAGAGAGCATCACGAGTTCATCGAGCACACTCACACATCACGGCTCACTTAAATGAAGTCCTCTTACAGATTCTCCCCTTTGAAGCTTAACAATGAAAATGAAGTGCGTTAATACGAGCATCCCATAATAGCTTCAATGTAATTCTCTATGCCTGCATAAAGTAATCTAATTACAGCAACCCCTTCTTTTGAGTAAATTTAAAAAATATAAAAACGGACAGATTCACTGACGGGTCACAAACAGGCGACAAAGTCAGAATTCAGATTTTATTATTTCATGATTTCATGAAAAATCAGCCGATAAAGACACTCCTCACTCACAGGTGCAAACTCACCTGTCCATGCAGGAAGCAGCTGAACACGACTCAGAGCCACAGCAGAGAGAGGTTCACATTATTGATGACTGAGTACAGTCTGAGGAGGCGGCTCCATCCTTTTAAAAACTTAAAAACCAAGCAGGTCAGACAGTTACTGATCTTTCTTTTGGTCAAATCAAAATAAATACATGAATTCATTAATAAGACAAGAGTCTATGTTGTATTTTATTGGCATAGTTACCAATCAGTTAGTCAGTGAGAGACGAGCCGGGCACAAAGTATTCATATCTGTACAAATACTGCACTTCCTTACTTATCCAACACAAGTTTGAAATGAAGTCTTTCATAAGAGCTTCAGATTAAGCTTAGCAAAGTCGCACTGAAACATCCGACAGATTTTCCAGCGCCGTGCACATAAAATCGTTTCGAGGTCAGTAAACACAACCAGAGTTCATACATAAGGCGCACGGGGTTATAAGGGGCTCTGTCGACTTTCAGAAAAATCAAAGGATTGATTTTAAGTGCGCCGTATTTTCCAAACAACACGGTAATAACGACGGCCCGCTAGCATGCGCTACCAAAAATAGTGCTTTGTTGTGTGTCTGACGGACGAAAGCTAAACCAGTTCCACACCACTGAAGCTGCATTTTTACAAACCAGTTCTGGTTCATCTGTTTCACTCAACGATCCACTTTCACTCTTCTCGTTCTCCGTCGCCGCCATGTGCGTATGAAAACAAAGGCACTGCGCATGCGCGTTTTACCCATATTCTATCGCCATATTTCATTTTCTTATCTTTGCCCAACATTACACCGGTGTTACTGTGAACGGTATGATATGGCCCAGCCCTAGTCTCTAGAGTTTAACCTTAAAAATCTGAGTTTTCCTTCCATGTTGAATCTGATTGTCTGACACAAACATCTCTGTGAAGGACTCGCTCTGACTTGTGGGGACAGATTTTCAGAGCAGACCGAGGATCGATAACCTCCCTCAGTCAGAGCAGGCGGCGTTTTTCACTTTGATTTTTAGCTCTTTGCTTAAAATAAATGTTTGCCATTAGAGCCCCCCCCCCCCCGTCCATTTAGCTCTCTGCGTTCGTCCGTGCCTTTTTCAGTTGTTTCAGTCACCATGGAAACACACAAACAGACAAAAGCAGCCTTGTGTTGTCCTTCCTGTGCAGGGAGGCGGTGTGTGAGTTTCTGTTTGTTATTGAAGACACACACACACAGATTTATCGATCAGGTGGGATGGTGGAGGCTGAAGGTTTGATTCTCTTCCACTTCAGTTTGCACACGCTGAGCAGTTTTGCTTCTTGTGAAGGAAACAGCTTCACTGCAGCTCCGTGATGAGTGCACGCTCATTGTGTTGCACAATTACACAAATCAGTTCACGAGCAGCTTCATGCAGGATCATAATAAATGGGGAAAGAAATCTATGGAAGGAAAAAACAGGTCAGTGCTTAGAAGCCGGAGCGATGAGCCGTGCAGTGTCTAATGTTAGACGGTGGTTAACGTTAGCATGCTCGCTAACCTTTGACAGGACGTTTTAATTAGCGTTGTTGAGCTAAACACGCGGCGCGGTTTGTCATGCGTGGAGCTGTAAACATCCAGCCGGGGTCGCACGGTGACACGCTGCCAACACGACACGAGCGCCTGCAACCAACCGCTTTGCTAATGATGGTGCTGCAGTCACATGTAACGAGCAGCTGAAAGCTGCACGGCTGCTGCATCGTCTTTGGAAAGCAGGAAAAATATCATTAAAAATCAGATATGTAGGTGCTGTTCTCATCCTCTGTATTCAGCATTCACTTTGGACACAGTTTGTTAAAGCATTACTTAAAGACAGCAATGAGACAAAGTCAGTCTGCTATCAGTCTGCAACCGAATGAGTCAACCTGGCAGGCATCTGTCTGGAATACAGGTATCACATCCAGCATCCAGCCAGGACCTCACAGATCTGAACCAGAAGTTCAAAAATCTGCAAATAGTGACGTAAAAGCTGCAGGACAGCAGTTTAACTCAGAATACAGCCAGCTGAGCCCTCCACTGCAAAGAGACGTGATCCATATGTAAACTGACCGGGATTTTATGCTACGTCTTAACCACAAACCTTTTTCCAAACCCAGCGACGTGACCTGCGGCGTAGCTTTGCTCACACTTACAGAAACGTAACGGCACGTCAGGTCAATGCAGCCCAAGACTGTTGTGATTGGTCTGTTTGGTACTTAGTGTAAGTAACACAACTTACACTGACGCAGGTTACATGGTGGGCTGTACAAAGAGTCACCGAAGTCTAAATCAGGCCCGACTGACTGCAACACGCTGGCGATCAGTCTGACTGCCTGACCCTGATGGTTGGAGACAGGTCGCCTCTTACCAGGTGACCAGAACATAAAATAGTCATCGCTGACTTCCTGTTGCAAGTGTTTGCATTCATTCTGACCAAAACACTGACTTCTTAGATGTTGTGTTAGTTACAGCCATGCCGAACTTTCTGCTTTAATCCTGTCTCGCAGTGCTCTCCTTGTTTGGCTCCAGCCTCGAGTGGACATTAGTGGAACTGCAGTTCTGGTTGCTTCTCAGGCCTTGGAAAAATCCAGCTTTTGATGGTTGGATTTAGCTTTGCACACCAAAAACTGATAAGTGGTACCAGGCGTCGGACACAGCTGGTGTTTATAGTTTAAACAGAGAAATAGGACAGACATGAGGAAGGAGTCTGTCAAGTCTAATAATCTGTGTCACACAACATCACGTTAGTCTCAAAGGGCTTCACAGCCTGTACGATGCCCACTCCGTGCTCACGCCCTGCAAACAAACACGGCGTCTACACGAGTTCAGGATGAGATGAACAGAATGAGCGAGGCGGCGAGCGAGGCGAGGCTGATGGGGAAGCGGAGAGAACGAGGCTAAATGGAGATGAGAGGAAGGAGGCGGAGAAGGAAGGAAGGAGGGAGCACTTGTTTAATAATCATGAAGCTATTCTGAGCAGCGCTGTCCTTTAGATGATCTCAGACCCTCGTTTTTCTTTATGTGTGTGACACAGTGGGGTGGTCTTCATTAACTTGCAGACACACAGAAATAATCTCCACAGTTTGAAGCACCAGCTCCGCTTCAAGTCTTTTCTTATTTGAACTGTTGGACCATCGCAGCGGGCGCTGAAATCAACCAGAAGAGAAGAAGAAGAATATGACCCCCCCCTCCCAGCAGCGATGAAGTGCTTTTTGTTCCCTCTGGGTCGTCAGTGACAGTAAGACACAGCAGAGCCGGTGGGACGTCTGCTGCCTGCAGGCCAGAATGGGACATCGCCGTCCCTGTCGCATTATTAAGTGTGTTTGCAGCACAAACTCGTGAACAGATTCGGCGGCTGTGGTTGAAATAAGTCCACGATTCACGTTTGGTGCTTCCTTTAATGTCCTACAAATGCAATACTTCAGGCTTTGCAGGCTCTTAGATGGCATTAAATGTTAATGCTACAATGGAAAGTGTGATTTTCTTTTAAAGGCGGTGTCGTGTAGCCTGCACGCATTTTACAATCCTTCATTTAACTTTCCCGCTTCGCTTGAGTAAACACATAGCCAACACACAATTATATTTAATGCCTCGCAAATCAAAACTGATATGAAGACATGCACCAGAAGTTTAAAGAAAAAGCAGAGTGAGGATGATTTCCCCTGGAAGCTAAACACGCACAGCTGTGCTCTCTGCTGGGATTTGGGTTTGGAGAAAGTGCATCACGTGCTGTAAATCAGAGGGAAGTCGGGTGTGAAAGGGAAGACATGACTGGATAGAAGAGAAGGCGCTACGGCAACGGTAAGAGCGCGTGATGCCACATCATCAAGGGAGGAGTGGCATGCTGGGAAAACTGAAGGGTCTTGAGATGGCAGATGGCTTTATGAGCTGCTGTGTCTCTCAACAGGCCAGCTAACTGAGCCAAAGGAAGCTAACAACACGGGAAGAAACAAATATTAGTTACATAGTTACAAAAGCTAGTTTCAAACTTTCAGACAGGAGCGCGACGTCTTTGTGAGGATTTAACGCAGCACTGATGTGGGAGAGCAGGCACAGCAACACAGCCCAAGCATCTCATTACAGCCCAGCTGTAGTTCGGCTCGCTCCCCGGCAGCACTGGTCTCTGTAAACGGGGCACTGCAGCACACCGTTGTTCAGGACTGACACAAAGCTGCTGCTAAATGCTAATGTGATAGATGACCTGCAGGACGGAGAACAAGCCTGAGCCACACAGCCCGAAGGAGAAGGAGCCTACTTTTGGTTCTGAGCT